ACTGTAGAACGCCTTAGTGACAATAAGGTCATTCTACGTGGTGATAGAATCGATAACATTTATATGGTTAACTTAGACAAATCTCCTTCCGGCTTTGCTAAGTGCCTCATGAGTAAAGAGGAAGACACTTGGCTATGGCACCGAAGGGTAGCTCATATGAACATGAACCTTTTGAACAAATTGGTTTCACAAGACTTAGTAATTGGCATCCCAAAACTTAAGTTTGAAAAAGACACCATATGTGATGCATGTCAAAAGGGGAAGCAAGTTCGGGCTTCGTTTAAGTCTAAAAACGTTGTTTCAATGTCTAGACCGCTTCAACTTTTGCACATGGATCTCTTTGGTCCCTCTAGAACGAAAAGTTTTGGTGGCAATTACTTTGCATTTGTGATTGTCGATAACTACTCTAGGTTTACATGGACCTTGTTTCTAACTCATAAAAGTGAGGCATTTCATGTTTTCAAAAATTTCTTAAAGAAAGTTCAAAATGAAAAAGAGACAACCATAGTAGCCATAAGAAGCGACCATGGGGGAGAGTTTGAACGAAATCTGTTTTCAGATTTGTGTGACGAACTTGGCATTGATCAAAACTTCTCAGCCACACGTACACCACAACAAAATGGAGTGGTGGAACGTAAAAATAGATGTCTCGAAGAGATGGCTAGAACTATGATCAATGAGGCAAAAATCCCTAAGTATTTTTGGGCAGATGCCGTGAGTACCGCGAGCTACGTGTTAAATCGAGCCGTCATTCGACCGATACTCATGAAAACGCCCTATGAGCTATACATAGGGAGAAAGCCAAACCTCTCCCATCTTCGAGTCTTTGGCTGCAAATGTTTTATTCACAACAATGGCAAAGACAATTTAGGCAAATTTGATGCCAAGTCGGATGAAGGAATTTTTCTGGGTTACTCATTACATAGCAAGGCCTATAGAGTCTTCAATAAACGTACTTTGACTATTGAGGAGTCTCCTCACGTTGTATTCTCCGAAGATAACCCTCGCTTGGCGAGAAAGGAGATTTGTGATGATCTTGCAGAATCATTAGAAAGAATACATGTTGATGACGATGAAGACAACACCGGAATATACATCAACACACAGTCGCAAACTGAGGAGATACCTCAAACGACTAACCAAGGTGAGGAAGAAAATCAGGAGGAAGAAGAAGGACAAGAGGAACACGAAAAAGAAACAACCGAGCTTCCCATAGCTTGGAGAACGCACAGGAACCATCCACTTGACCAGGTAATCGGCAGCATCAACCGCGGGGTAAGTACTCGTAACTCTCTTAGGGACACCGTAGGACACATGGCTTTCGTATCTCAAATTGAACCTACAACCATTTCCGAAGCAATAAACGATGAACATTGGACCTTGGCTATGCAAGAGGAGCTAAACCAATTCAAACGAAATGACGTTTGGGAATTGGTGCCAAGACCTGATGATCGTACGGTTATTGGTACGAAATGGGTGTTCCGTAACAAACTCGATGAAAATGGAATAATCACTAGAAACAAATCTAGGCTCGTAGCTAAAGGCTACAATCAAGAAGAAGGCATTGATTTCGAAGAAACTTATGCACCTGTAGCACGTTTAGAAGCTATTCGTTTACTTCTTGCTTTTGCTTCGTCTATGGATTTTAAGCTTTATCAAATGGATGTTAAGAGTGCCTTCCTCAATGGTTTTATTCAAGAGGAAGTGTATGTTGACCAGCCCCCGGGGTTTGAGGACTTTGAGTTTCCCGATCACGTCTTCAAACTCAAGAAAGCACTCTACGGTCTTAAACAAGCACCACGTGCTTGGTACGAACGTTTGAGTAAATTTTTTTTGGATAGTGGTTTCCAAAGGGGAAAGGTTGACACTACACTTTTTATCAAGAGTAAAAACAATAACATCCTTTTGGTTCAAGTTTATGTAGACGACATTATATTCGGTGCTACTAACGAGTCTTTGTGCAAGGAATTCTCAACGTTAATGACAAGTGAATTTGAGATGTCCATGATGGGTGAGCTTACATTCTTTTTGGGACTCCAAGTCAAGCAAATGAAAGATGGCAC